TTTTTTTCAGGCTTCTTCTTTCCAATTGCTTAAATTGGAAAATTTACTGCGATGATCATTCTTCACTTTTGATAACAATCTTGTTGCTTCGTGGGTTCACCCGTGTAAACATTAGTCATACTCAGCTGTGACAAGTGTTATGAGTTTTGGCCCTTAACTGCTGTCTTGTTGGATGAATTTCAAACACAAGATCCAATATTGTCCAATGTAAATACTAATGTAGCTTGGCACTTGAAGAAAAGCTGAAATTTCAGGTCAGAGCTACGAGGTTGTTTTGAATTCATAGTGTTAAGGAAAGTGTTAAATGGTGCTAAAAGCTTGCTCTTATGAACACAATCTTCACAATGTGTCAGTGAAAGAAAATGTTTTGTGCCACCGTGGAACTCCCAGACATCCTGTTGAATTGGTCAATTAACTTGTTTTCAATTTCAAATATACCAATTATTTAATGAATTGAATAGCCTTGAAGTTGATCAATGATAGTTCAGACACAGACACCCGACACCTGGGTATTTGTTGTTTCTTAAAGATTTGTCACACAGAAGAGGCCCAAACAAAGCCAGGAAGTTTAAGTTGCCTCCTTTTTTGCATGCCATCAGTCACATTTGTTGCTGTATTTTCCATTTTGCTTAAAATTGTTATGATTTCAAACTTTCTTTTGTACGGATAAAACAATGGCCACAATTTCTGATTCATCGCTTCTGCTTGTTTTATTTACAAAAAATATTATGCTCCAGATAACTGTCCACATCAATCACTATTGCTTCTAAACTTTTGGAAACAAAGTTTGGTTCTAAAAGTGTCAAAGTATTGTGATATCTCTGTTTCTTCTGTGCCACTTTTCAATTAGCACTGTACAGATGCAATCACGTTTGCATGTTTTCACTTTTGTGTCAACACACTTTCACATGAATTTGTGTTAGCTTGTCGCTGAGTTGTACTGTAAACAAGTTGCTATATAAGATGGTGGTTAAGGCAAGCATAGTTGGAAAAAGTATGAACCACAATTTCCTGCCAGATGTTGCTTTTAGTGAATGATCAAACATGAAAATCTTCTGATCTTGACCAAGAATTACATGTCATAGGTAGTGAAAATGTTGGCCCAAAACTTAGTCATTTGACTTGCAAATAAAAGCATTGCAAAACAAAAGTTATCTACCGTGCATATCAACTGTAGAATAAAGTTTGGTGTAAAACATTGAATTCAAGGTCAATTAATGAAGGGATTTCTTTAACATTTTCAGTAGGAGGGTTACTGGTTTTCACAGATGGGCAAAATTATTAGAACTGAACTTCTTGATATGAAAAATGTTCCGCTGGATGGTCAAACCAGCCAGGCAAAATTGTCCTCACTGCTGGACAATTTGCCCAGTGCCCCAACCTTAATGAACCCCTCAAATGCAGGTGTTTTGTGAAACTGTAAACTAAAGCAGTATGTGTTTATCTTTACAGCATGTTTGATGTGGGTGGACAGAGGGATGAGAGAAGGAAATGGATACAGTGCTTTAATGGTAAGTATGGTATGGCATTCATTGTAAATACTGTTGAAACTATCTTTGTGACCCCTTATATGAGCCATTGGTGTTCTGAATTCAAAATATTTTAGCAAAATTGCCGTGTAATTTCGTTTTCTTCAGCAAATTCAGACACTTCCCTTTCATCACAGTTGTTTGCACGACATTTTGAGTTGTTAATAAATTTCACATCATAGGGTTTCTATAGCCTAATAGTTAATTTAAATCATCCCAGTGAATTTAAAAAAAGGAAATTAGCTGGAAAACGTGCCATTAAATTTTAAGTTGTTGTTTGAGCCTACATATAAGCATCTCAACAGTGTTGGATATTTAAAAAAAGTGGGTCTTAGAAGACTTGGATTCATAAAATTAACAAGTTTCCACAACACGCTTGGCATGGATATCCATGGTATACCAGGAGCTGGTCTACTGGAGGAATCAGATATTTATAAACCAACGCTTACAGGCTGTTCTGCACTTCCCTTTTTTCTCTCCCTGGGTCTGTTCATTTTTCTTTTTCCTGCCTGCTGTTGGAGACTCTGGAACAGGCTACTAAAGTTATAAAAAGAGTATTATCATGAGCTGCAAATCCAGAATGCTTTGATATCAAGGAGGCTATGTCAAATCCTGGCCTTGTGTCTTCAAGAGTTCACTTATGGCTAAATACAAAATTCATTTTGTTAGTTCTCTTCAGCACTTCACTTACTTTCTTGACCTTGGCTCTCTCAGCACATTTTGTGAGTGAGTGAAGGCACTTTTAATGTAGCAATATTTAGCACCATTTTGACCAAAAATGTGGTGTGTGTTTGCGGACATAAGTATAAATCTTTAGCTGTGTAACTAAGCAGGGTATTTTTGTTCATTTTCAGATGTTACAGCAATAATATTTGTGGTTGCATGCAGTAGTTACAATTTGGTACTTAGAGAAGATCCTAGCCAGGTGAGTGTGTCAAAATTATAATTAATTTTGTAAGTTCCAAGTTTAGGATCAACTCTTGCTAAAATTGGTGAAATTTAAAGAAGTGATTTGAGAACAAGAATGTATTTACATGTAGCTTGCAGGACTGACTGATTAAAACATCTTTCTAAGGTCATGTTCCATTACCATTTGGGATTACTGTTTAAGGTGGTTAGGTTGGTTGCCTGTTCTGTGTTCTTTTGAGGAAAAAAGAACATTCTCAGTTGGTTTGATCATCCTTTTCAGCCAGCATCAAACTTGGTTGAGACAGTTGATTTGGTTGATGTTTCCAAATCTTGAACACTTTTTCAACTTTTTTCAGTTACAGTGATTGATAAATATAGCACCATCCTTTAAGCCAAATTAATGGAAATAGCCTAATTTGAAGAAAAAACTCAACCAATCCAACAAACTAATAAAAGTGATAGGTGGTGCAGTTGAGTATAACATGAGCTTACATTTGACCATATTTCTACTTGGATAAATTTACTAGCAGTCTGTCATGAATGCCGTTGTCTTATTGGCTACACAACTCAGATCACTGGCTATTCTGTTGTAGTTAGTGAGCAGTGTGGATTATTAACACTGGTGATTTTGAAGTGTCTGTGAAGAGGAGAAGGGAGAAGTTGAAATCTGTTCCCAAGTAGCATGTGCTACTGAGTAATAGACATCTTTCTCGCAAGAGCATACTAATGTGCTACCTTATTACATGAAATTTTTGCAACACGTTTATTTTGCGATTTTGGAGTGTGCATATTTCATGACACTTAAATTCCACGATTTTGCAAAAATTTTGTATTTTGATCACTTTAACTTGGTGTTTTCCAGTAACACACACACAATTCATTTCCTTGGCAGTGTTACTAAACATGTCCTTGAATTTAGTAAACCAACTTTATCAAAGGTACAATAACATCAAAATCAACAAAAACGCAACAGCAGGACTATGTGTCAACAGTAACTAATGTGAGTCACTTTAATTTTCGCATCATGTTATGTTCGTGACAGTTATTGTTCGCATCACTTTAATTTCGCGATTTTTTTTCATCACAAAATTAACCTGTTGCAAAAATTTCTTGTAACAAGGTACTTAAGTCCTCGAAGGTTGACTGGCCAAGGCTGTTTGAACTATGTGCTGTCGCTTACAAAACAATTGTGTTATTAATGCAATAACAACTTACTTTGTTTCAGAACCGGTTGAAGGAATCTCTTGAATTGTTCAAAAGTATTTGGAATAACAGGTTTGTGACTCACTTAACAGAAACAAGAGTGAGACTAGCTGTTCTTACCCTTACGTTGTAATAAACAAATAGTTGTTTTAGGGAAAAGGTTGAAGCCTGGTCTGAGTCATCATGTTTTGTTCTTGGACAAGTGCTGTACGTAATTTGTGTTTTTCCTTCGAACAAAATTTACCAGTTGTCCTTGAGTTGTGTTGACAAGTCCTTGAATACTTACCCTGCAGGATAAAGAGTATACAATATATTGACATAATCTGTCTCACAAGAAAAACCCATCAAGAATTGTTGATTTTGGCAATACAGTTTAAGAAGTGATTATAATGTGAAGTACGCAACTGTTGAAGTCATCCTTTCTTCAATGTTGTCTTTTGTATCTGTATTTTGTGTCCTTCACCTCCCCTTGTCCTTGGAACTGATGTCTGGCAGACATCTAAATGTATATCAACCACGTCTTGTGCATGGCCATGTCTTTTGTCTGTGCTAATCCTGTATTGGAAGGCCTTATGCGTTTGACGGTGCGATGAGGACTGATGAATCCTGTATTGGAGGACACTGAAATTAACTTACATGTTTTTTCCTCCCCCAGATGGCTGAGAACAATCTCAGTAATATTGTTTCTCAACAAGCAAGACTTGTTAAAAGAAAAGGTGCGGGCTGGCAAGTCCAAGATTGAGGACTATTTCCCGGACTTTGCTCGTTACAGAACTCCTCCAGATGGTAAGATAAATTGTCAATAAAGTAATAAATGGAAAACTTTTTTCATGGTTTTATCCAGTTATTGAAACATGAGTGGAAGTTTGAGAGAATGAGAATTGTTTCGAATGCCTGCACCATGGAAGCATTTCCACAGTTTTGCAAGTCTCCCAAACTTTCACAAGACTTATAGTTTTTCTGACTCAATAGAAACATGGCCAGAATGTGAGAAAATGAAAGGAAAATCACTGGCTTATTTGATAATTAAAATGTTTCTACATGTATCTGGTTATTAAAATACCTAACAGCTTTTAGCACAAATGATCTCACCAGGTGTTTTTCAAACAATCATTGTTAGGTTGTAGTCATCACTACATAGCAAAGTTTGATTTATCTGAAATGTCTAAAACTTGGTTATGTTAGTAAAAGGTGTCCTTTTTCTGTCAAGTGAATGAAGTAAGCTTAATTTAACTGTTCAATTCCAATATAATTCTAGTGTGCTAGCTGGGGTCACTGAACTAAAACCTAAAAAGCACATACTGACCAGTTGGCTTTGTACTTTTTAGTACAACTGATAGGGCCGTAGCCAGAAAAAAATACGACTGAGGCAATGTCCATGGTTAAATTCTCTTCCTAGGTATTTCAGGTGTTTATGATGAATAGAAACAACAAAAATGAAAAAAGAAAATAATAATAATGACCGAGGCAAGTGCATCAGATTGCCTGTTATCTGATATGGCCCTGACTGAGGACCATTCATTTTAGTTTGAAAACTAGCGCTAGTTGCATGGATTGGAAGGTGCAAATCTAGGATAACCTGACACTCTGACTACTCAGTTTTCAAGTTCAAGTTCATTCATTTACAAGTATATCTGAACGATTTTGCAAAAACATGCCCACTAGGTTTTTGCCTGGATTTGGGTGCAAATCTAGTGACCTTAAACCCAGAGGGGGCGTCATCACGGCCAGGCTGGGCACATGGCCCAAGCACTGACCTATCTGCTGGTGGTTTGCTGGCAGCCAGCTGTCAAAAGCAGGGGGGAGGGGAGGGTGTCTTGTACTGACACTCCCAGCTGGCTAGACTTTGAGTTGTCAGTGTTAAATAACCTTGGTATTGACTGTGTTTCTGGGTGTTTTACTCAATTGTTGTTTGAGGTTTCTGTGTTGACATGGCACCCTGCTGGAGTGGTGCATGTGTGAGTGGCCAACCTCCTAGCCAGGGGAGTGGTCAGAGGACTTCTGGCCGGTGAGACTGTCTTTGAGTCAATGCGGGCATGTTTTTGCGTATTTGGTCAGATATCTGTACAATTAAAATGTTTTGAGTTAGCAGTTAAAAGGCAAAAAGGAAAACGTGCAAAATTACAGGAAGACACTGTGTCGTGGCCAAGGGAGCCAAAGCTTTTGAGTTGGCCACTACCACAGTGAGATTATTTAGGAATCAATTAAAAGGTACAAAATATATAACTTCATCATGAGATGCTGATGACAATGTCATTCTTTTTTCCTTCATAGCCACGGCAGAGCCTGGGGACGAGGAATCAGTGACAAGAGCTAAATATTTTATTCGTGATGAATTCCTTGTAAGTATAGCTTTGCTGTTATGTGTTTGTTCTGTCTTGGAGTGCATTCCTTTGGGATGATCCAGATAAGGATCATTATTAAAAACTGGATCAATGGATAATGCAATTCAAGAGTTTTCATTGGCTTAGCCATTATGGTATAGGAGCAATTATACCGTGCACTACAAATATGGGAAGCATATGCATAATTTTGGGGGCATTTTTATATGTATTTTACGTTAGTTCTATGATAGATTTTGAGGGCGTTTTTAATAAAACAATTGCTCTCGTTGGATACGAGATGAGTATAGCCAACTCGGCACTACATGCCTCATTGGCGATCTATCATCTCATGTCCAATGCATGTTCGTGGAATTGTTTAATAATCCAAGGTCTCATGGAGTGCCTTGAAGGAATCAATGACACACCCTGGGCACAGGGCAAGGACTGATCTCTTCTTTTGGTGTACCATGATGCGAGTGACCTTAGATCATTGAACCTTTTCCAGCTCACCCCAAAGAAATGCAATCTCGGTTGTAAAGCAATGCTGTGAAAACCCAGAACTTGGTTTTCACAAAGGTTAGAAGAATTTGGATGCCTGTTGTTTTACCTGGGCTTAAAGTACTTGGAATTCCCCAGTGAGTTGAAGATGAATGAAGAAACTTTGTTGAAACCACTTATTGTTCTGCGCCCTGATATCTGGACACAATTGAACTAAGGAGTATTTTAGAAGTGCTCAGAACAAAATTAAGTCCAGCCTAAAGTGTTCACATGTTTGAACTGCTGGATAACAATTTAGTACCTCCCAGTGAGTTCCTGTCATACATGTAGCTGTGGAATGATCTGAAAATCAAACCATTGTTGGGTTTTCTATAATCTAGATGTCGTTGTAACCTTCTTGAATTCTTGTTTAAATTAATGGCAGTGCCCCCTTAAAGATGCTACAACGTGGATTGCACATTTTCGAAACAGTTAGGCTTCATTTCCCAAGTTTGTTCTGTCAAAATCGTGTTTAATGTTGCTTATCTCATTGTTGTAGCTCCTGTGTTTGACTACCTTGTTAACTACATGTCTATATGTTAAATTTGAAGAGAACTTTGAACTGTTTTCTTTTCGTTTTGCAGCGAATCAGCACAGCCAGCGGAGATGGTAAACACTACTGTTATCCACATTTCACATGCGCAGTAGATACGGAGAACATTCGACGGGTATTCAATGACTGCCGAGATATAATCCAGCGAATGCACCTCCGCCAGTATGAACTTCTGTGATGGGTTCCCTCTTCTCCCTCCCCAACTTTTCATCCAGCCTTCTGAACAGCCCTTACCAAGGCTGCCTGCCATGTGCTGTTATATGACACAAACATTCAGCTGTTTTATTCCGATATGGGACGGGGGATAGATAACAAAGGGGCGTCGGCCCAGCCATGAAATTATGTCAGATACCAGCCTTGTAAAGTAGTGTACAAAATGCCGTGGAATAATGTAGCATTTAGTTTCCTGTGGTTTTTCACAGGACTTTGTCAGTCAGTTAGCTGTAATGTTCTGGGCCGAGAAAAGGAGAATTTTGTTGGGGGTGGGGGACGGGGGATTTGCGCGTGGTCTGTCTCCACATTGAGTTCCTTGATTCTTGTTCTTCTGTCAAACTAAAACCATTATCCTTAAAGTTGAATTTCTTATCACAAGTTCCCCTGTCTTTCGGAGTTGGGAACTTGAGCACTAAAATTTGCTAGTTCTTGAAAATATCAGAAGTGTGCAGGCAAAGAAAAAGTGTTTTTAAGGTTGTTGACAGACTTAGTGTATAAAAAAAAAATGTTCTTTTGTTGTCCCTAAGAACAAACCATGGCAGCACATGCTGAGGAAATTTCAGTCTTCTTTTTTAAAGACGTGTGAAACTCTTAAAATCTTCTCTCTTATCCGTGGTATCCGGTACTTAAGTAAATTAAAGAAATACCTCAAATTAAGTAGCTATTTGTTATTCTGGAATGAATGCAACAAAGTCTTCTTTCATGTTCTTGTTATAAGAAGCCAGTGGCATTTCATTGCAGTGAACCGGGTAACCACGCCTTTTCTTTGTTTGCAGACATCTCTATAATATCACTATCAAATCTGAATATTGCCCTTTTCAAGTGTGAATAAGTACATATAATAATTTAGATTTATATTATGAACATGGAAAGGCTTTTTAACTCACCCTTATTGGTCAAGGAAAACTATAGTATAGGTGGCCTGAGTGTAACGTGACTGTAATTGTAATATTTGCCTCCGCCACAGTTCTGAAGTCCCCGATTTCCATGTTTCGTTGATTGAAAACTATTCCGTTGCTTCTAGTTGAGAAAGCAGAAGCGAAGAAAGATAAAAAGAGAGAGAGAGACAAGTTATTTAGGCCGGGGGAGTTTTTTTAAAAAGGAACCTGTCTCTATTTGCTCGTGATTATCATGATGCTGTACAGTAAATGTGTTAGCCCGTTACTTGGTGTTTCTTGGTGTTGTGCCCGTCAAAGAAATGTATGTAGATTAGTTCATGTAGATTTAATTAGGTGATAGAGAAGCTCTGCCCCTTTTCCCTTCTAATCATCGTTTTCTCTCCCCCCAAGAACTTGTTTTGTTCAGAAATTAGCTTGCAGAAATATGCTGCAACCTTCAACATATTGTATATTGACCCGAAAAAAAGAAACACAGATCTTAATTTTTTTTGTGACATGCAAGGTTGTATGTGCTATGTCAATCCATGTCAGTGTGTTTGTTTCTCTGTTTGTTTGTTTGTTTACAACTGTTGAAGTCATCCTTTCTTCAATGTTGTCTTTTGTATCTGTATTTTGTGTCCTTCACCTCCCCTTGTCCTTGGAACTGATGTCTGGCAGACATCTAAATGTATATCAACCACGTCTTGTGCATGGCCATGTCTTTTGTCTGTGCTAATCCTGTATTGGAAGGCCTTATGCGTTTGACGGTGCGATGAGGACTGATGAATCCTGTATTGGAGGACACTGAAATTAACTTACATGTTTTTTCCTCCCCCAGATGGCTGAGAACAATCTCAGTAATATTGTTTCTCAACAAGCAAGACTTGTTAAAAGAAAAGGTGCGGGCTGGCAAGTCCAAGATTGAGGACTATTTCCCGGACTTTGCTCGTTACAGAACTCCTCCAGATGGTAAGATAAATTGTCAATAAAGTAATAAATGGAAAACTTTTTTCATGGTTTTATCCAGTTATTGAAACATGAGTGGAAGTTTGAGAGAATGAGAATTGTTTCGAATGCCTGCACCATGGAAGCATTTCCACAGTTTTGCAAGTCTCCCAAACTTTCACAAGACTTATAGTTTTTCTGACTCAATAGAAACATGGCCAGAATGTGAGAAAATGAAAGGAAAATCACTGGCTTATTTGATAATTAAAATGTTTCTACATGTATCTGGTTATTAAAATACCTAACAGCTTTTAGCACAAATGATCTCACCAGGTGTTTTTCAAACAATCATTGTTAGGTTGTAGTCATCACTACATAGCAAAGTTTGATTTATCTGAAATGTCTAAAACTTGGTTATGTTAGTAAAAGGTGTCCTTTTTCTGTCAAGTGAATGAAGTAAGCTTAATTTAACTGTTCAATTCCAATATAATTCTAGTGTGCTAGCTGGGGTCACTGAACTAAAACCTAAAAAGCACATACTGACCAGTTGGCTTTGTACTTTTTAGTACAACTGATAGGGCCGTAGCCAGAAAAAAATACGACTGAGGCAATGTCCATGGTTAAATTCTCTTCCTAGGTATTTCAGGTGTTTATGATGAATAGAAACAACAAAAATGAAAAAAGAAAATAATAATAATGACCGAGGCAAGTGCATCAGATTGCCTGTTATCTGATATGGCCCTGACTGAGGACCATTCATTTTAGTTTGAAAACTAGCGCTAGTTGCATGGATTGGAAGGTGCAAATCTAGGATAACCTGACACTCTGACTACTCAGTTTTCAAGTTCAAGTTCATTCATTTACAAGTATATCTGAACGATTTTGCAAAAACATGCCCACTAGGTTTTTGCCTGGATTTGGGTGCAAATCTAGTGACCTTAAACCCAGAGGGGGCGTCATCACGGCCAGGCTGGGCACATGGCCCAAGCACTGACCTATCTGCTGGTGGTTTGCTGGCAGCCAGCTGTCAAAAGCAGGGGGGAGGGGAGGGTGTCTTGTACTGACACTCCCAGCTGGCTAGACTTTGAGTTGTCAGTGTTAAATAACCTTGGTATTGACTGTGTTTCTGGGTGTTTTACTCAATTGTTGTTTGAGGTTTCTGTGTTGACATGGCACCCTGCTGGAGTGGTGCATGTGTGAGTGGCCAACCTCCTAGCCAGGGGAGTGGTCAGAGGACTTCTGGCCGGTGAGACTGTCTTTGAGTCAATGCGGGCATGTTTTTGCGTATTTGGTCAGATATCTGTACAATTAAAATGTTTTGAGTTAGCAGTTAAAAGGCAAAAAGGAAAACGTGCAAAATTACAGGAAGACACTGTGTCGTGGCCAAGGGAGCCAAAGCTTTTGAGTTGGCCACTACCACAGTGAGATTATTTAGGAATCAATTAAAAGGTACAAAATATATAACTTCATCATGAGATGCTGATGACAATGTCATTCTTTTTTCCTTCATAGCCACGGCAGAGCCTGGGGACGAGGAATCAGTGACAAGAGCTAAATATTTTATTCGTGATGAATTCCTTGTAAGTATAGCTTTGCTGTTATGTGTTTGTTCTGTCTTGGAGTGCATTCCTTTGGGATGATCCAGATAAGGATCATTATTAAAAACTGGATCAATGGATAATGCAATTCAAGAGTTTTCATTGGCTTAGCCATTATGGTATAGGAGCAATTATACCGTGCACTACAAATATGGGAAGCATATGCATAATTTTGGGGGCATTTTTATATGTATTTTACGTTAGTTCTATGATAGATTTTGAGGGCGTTTTTAATAAAACAATTGCTCTCGTTGGATACGAGATGAGTATAGCCAACTCGGCACTACATGCCTCATTGGCGATCTATCATCTCATGTCCAATGCATGTTCGTGGAATTGTTTAATAATCCAAGGTCTCATGGAGTGCCTTGAAGGAATCAATGACACACCCTGGGCACAGGGCAAGGACTGATCTCTTCTTTTGGTGTACCATGATGCGAGTGACCTTAGATCATTGAACCTTTTCCAGCTCACCCCAAAGAAATGCAATCTCGGTTGTAAAGCAATGCTGTGAAAACCCAGAACTTGGTTTTCACAAAGGTTAGAAGAATTTGGATGCCTGTTGTTTTACCTGGGCTTAAAGTACTTGGAATTCCCCAGTGAGTTGAAGATGAATGAAGAAACTTTGTTGAAACCACTTATTGTTCTGCGCCCTGATATCTGGACACAATTGAACTAAGGAGTATTTTAGAAGTGCTCAGAACAAAATTAAGTCCAGCCTAAAGTGTTCACATGTTTGAACTGCTGGATAACAATTTAGTACCTCCCAGTGAGTTCCTGTCATACATGTAGCTGTGGAATGATCTGAAAATCAAACCATTGTTGGGTTTTCTATAATCTAGATGTCGTTGTAACCTTCTTGAATTCTTGTTTAAATTAATGGCAGTGCCCCCTTAAAGATGCTACAACGTGGATTGCACATTTTCGAAACAGTTAGGCTTCATTTCCCAAGTTTGTTCTGTCAAAATCGTGTTTAATGTTGCTTATCTCATTGTTGTAGCTCCTGTGTTTGACTACCTTGTTAACTACATGTCTATATGTTAAATTTGAAGAGAACTTTGAACTGTTTTCTTTTCGTTTTGCAGCGAATCAGCACAGCCAGCGGAGATGGTAAACACTACTGTTATCCACATTTCACATGCGCAGTAGATACGGAGAACATTCGACGGGTATTCAATGACTGCCGAGATATAATCCAGCGAATGCACCTCCGCCAGTATGAACTTCTGTGATGGGTTCCCTCTTCTCCCTCCCCAACTTTTCATCCAGCCTTCTGAACAGCCCTTACCAAGGCTGCCTGCCATGTGCTGTTATATGACACAAACATTCAGCTGTTTTATTCCGATATGGGACGGGGGATAGATAACAAAGGGGCGTCGGCCCAGCCATGAAATTATGTCAGATACCAGCCTTGTAAAGTAGTGTACAAAATGCCGTGGAATAATGTAGCATTTAGTTTCCTGTGGTTTTTCACAGGACTTTGTCAGTCAGTTAGCTGTAATGTTCTGGGCCGAGAAAAGGAGAATTTTGTTGGGGGTGGGGGACGGGGGATTTGCGCGTGGTCTGTCTCCACATTGAGTTCCTTGATTCTTGTTCTTCTGTCAAACTAAAACCATTATCCTTAAAGTTGAATTTCTTATCACAAGTTCCCCTGTCTTTCGGAGTTGGGAACTTGAGCACTAAAATTTGCTAGTTCTTGAAAATATCAGAAGTGTGCAGGCAAAGAAAAAGTGTTTTTAAGGTTGTTGACAGACTTAGTGTATAAAAAAAAAATGTTCTTTTGTTGTCCCTAAGAACAAACCATGGCAGCACATGCTGAGGAAATTTCAGTCTTCTTTTTTAAAGACGTGTGAAACTCTTAAAATCTTCTCTCTTATCCGTGGTATCCGGTACTTAAGTAAATTAAAGAAATACCTCAAATTAAGTAGCTATTTGTTATTCTGGAATGAATGCAACAAAGTCTTCTTTCATGTTCTTGTTATAAGAAGCCAGTGGCATTTCATTGCAGTGAACCGGGTAACCACGCCTTTTCTTTGTTTGCAGACATCTCTATAATATCACTATCAAATCTGAATATTGCCCTTTTCAAGTGTGAATAAGTACATATAATAATTTAGATTTATATTATGAACATGGAAAGGCTTTTTAACTCACCCTTATTGGTCAAGGAAAACTATAGTATAGGTGGCCTGAGTGTAACGTGACTGTAATTGTAATATTTGCCTCCGCCACAGTTCTGAAGTCCCCGATTTCCATGTTTCGTTGATTGAAAACTATTCCGTTGCTTCTAGTTGAGAAAGCAGAAGCGAAGAAAGATAAAAAGAGAGAGAGAGACAAGTTATTTAGGCCGGGGGAGTTTTTTTAAAAAGGAACCTGTCTCTATTTGCTCGTGATTATCATGATGCTGTACAGTAAATGTGTTAGCCCGTTACTTGGTGTTTCTTGGTGTTGTGCCCGTCAAAGAAATGTATGTAGATTAGTTCATGTAGATTTAATTAGGTGATAGAGAAGCTCTGCCCCTTTTCCCTTCTAATCATCGTTTTCTCTCCCCCCAAGAACTTGTTTTGTTCAGAAATTAGCTTGCAGAAATATGCTGCAACCTTCAACATATTGTATATTGACCCGAAAAAAAGAAACACAGATCTTAATTTTTTTTGTGACATGCAAGGTTGTATGTGCTATGTCAATCCATGTCAGTGTGTTTGTTTCTCTGTTTGTTTGTTTGTTTGTTTATTTGTATGTATGATTTAGTCTGCCTTGGTAGATTCTAGTGCTATTCCAGAATGCGAACAAAAGAAAACCCTTGGATCTGCTTTCAGAAGTATGACCAAAACTTCCCAAATCAGTGATTAAGACAGTTGATATCAGAGTAACTATGTAGAAGAGCTTTAAGCCGGAGCTGTCATATTAAGTTTTATGTCAAAATAAACTATTACTCAATAGTTCGTGTACAGTCGAAGGAAGGTGTGGTCTTTGTGTCCTTTGTAGTTGAGCGAATGCTTGTTTGGAAATAACGCGGGCATCCCGATGCCCCGTCCACAGAACGGCCGAGAAATTTGAAAGCGCAGCTTTATTTTTACGGTTAGCCCTACCGTCCACACTAATCCGTCATGAAAACGGAGCTTTTCGAAAACCGGGGAATTAAAAAACGCCGGCTTAGCATTTTCGCGCGGACGGAGAACATCTGAAAACGGAGCTTTTCGAAAACGATGACGTCAAGATAGTCTTGTGATTTCCTTTCCCGCGTTTTCCTCAAACACATCCAAAATGAACCGTGATTGCTGCGTTGTTTTAAATTTCTCCGGTGTAGTTTGGACGAAAAACATTTGATGCGTCTTTAGAGTAAAAAAGCCGTTTTCGTATTTCTCCGGCGACGTGAGGACGGAACCTGAGAAACCAAAGGTGTCTCGAGTGCCCGGAAAACTTCATGTTACGATGTAGTTGTACTGAGATCCATGCTGTTTTTGGGATTGGTCGATTAAGAGTGTCGAAAGCAATACCCAGTTGGGTTGGTTTTGCATTACTGCGGCAAGCGCCTGGCTTGGAGCGGTTTTCAATTGAGTACCAAAGTAATCACTGGCCAAGCACAGAAGACAATCCAGTGAATCAAGCAAACTCGCCCCAAATACGTGTAGCTGACACCGCGCGCGGGAGAACGTGTGTGAGCGAGTCGCGAATGGTTTGGGTTATTTTTTCATTGGCCGTGAAAGTGGCGTGAGATTTTTAAACCAATCACAAAAGTCAGTACTCTAATGCTAAACAAAAGCAAGTGCAAATTGCTTTCGACATTCAAGTGAGGCCGCATCCACAATACACTAGAGGAATTTGAAAACGGAGCTTTATTTCTACGCTTAGGGCTACCGTCCACGCTAATGCGTCACGAACTAGTAACGGATCTTTTCGAAAACGCTCTTCAAACCAGAGCAATTTCAAAACGCTGGCTTTTCGTGTTCGTTTGAACGGAAAATATTTTGAAAACGGAGCTTTTCGTAAATGATGGCATCACGATGTGATTTTCCTGACCGAGTTTTTCTTAAACACAAATCCAGAATGATTGGTGAGTGTTGCGTTATTAACTTCCGAGAACGTGGACGGAAAACATTTCTTGCGTTTCCAGATTGAAACCTCTGTTTTCAAATTCTTCTGGGGTAATGTGGAGGGCAAACATTTGATGCGTTTTCACAGTGAAACCTCCGTTTTCAAATTCCTCCCGGCGTAGTGTGGACGGAAAACATTAGCTGCACCTCTGTTTTCAGATTCCTTCCGGCATAATGTGGACGGAAAACATTAGATGCACCTCTGTTTTCAGATTCCTTCCGGCATAATGTGGACGGAAAACATTAGATGCACCTCTGTTTTCAGATTCCTTCCGGTGTAATGTGGACGGGGCCTCTGAAAAGTCTGAAAAGTGCTTGAAAAAAACTCGCGCCACATTGTCATCCAATCAGAAATGAAATGAGAACCAATCGTTTTCCCGCGCTTTGTGCCAGCGAAATGTATTTTCTTCGAGGTTTGATTGGTTCACGGGATTGCCTGTGTCCTTTGTGATAGTCTTAAGTGAGTACTTTGGTTTTAGTGTTTCCCTCAGTTCAAAACCGCTTCAATCAGTCTAATTCCCCGCGGGAAATTAAAACCTACTGAGTCAGGTCCGAAAATCTGCGTTAATTACAGGCCGAATGCGGAAAACCCCTGTTTGTTCTTCGTTGAAGCATTCGACCAATCTTGGGTACGGTTTTCGTAAACTGTGGCCCATCTACAATTTTTAGCTCTACAATTTTTTAGCTCGGACAAATCAATTCCATCCTGGTAAAAGTTTTCGGTTACAACAGACAACTCCGGAGTCCAGTTTCCAACGTCGAAATTCTCCCTTCCAGAATATTTCACTGTTCCAGAACGCCTAGGAAGTCTAGGAATTAGATTGCCTTCGCATTGGTGCAAATTTCTGTCTTATTTTGAGTTCCCTGTCGTTTATAAACCATCAATTTAAGTGCAAGCTACTTTTTGAGTGCGGTTTCTCCTTTTTCTGATCGCGTTAGATATTTCCAATTACTAATAATTTGCTCGCTCATTCCGGTAAATAAATCAGAGAATGTCATTGGTTCCGTCTTGCATCGTGTTGTGGCTGATGATATAACCTCATATACAAACGAAGTAACTGGATCCATTTGGACTACCGATACATATTTAAAGTGACTGGATGTCAGTTTATTCCATAATAAAGTATAATAGCCTTCGTGTTAGTGTCATTTGTACTAACATTGTTGAAGGTTTAGACCACGGCGAAAAAGCAAGTAGGTCCAGTACAGTCAACTCACGCAGCCTCTTATCTGGGTCAGTTGCTTATAATGAAATCGTGCTCGTGACGATATTTAACTCAGTTCAGCTCTCTTAGTAGTCTCAAAAAATTTCTAACCCTCTCCGGGTTGTAACAAAAACAATTAGATAAGTAAATAGATTACCAGTTACCAGATAATGATAATACCAATAATTTGTACACGGGGGCATTGAAAACCTAAAATAAAACACTACGAAGACATAAACAACCTAAAACAACCTAAGCCAGCTTAGAAAGAAAGAAGCTAACCACCTAAATCTTTCTTAGTCGTAAACAAATTACGCGAGACACTCAACTGCTATTAGGTAAGGATTCCATTAAGCAAGTCATTCATTTCCAATTATTTTATACTGCGGTCAGGTGACCTCCCGCTTGTTCCCCTACAGTTCAGGTTATAAGCATGCAAATCGCATCACCTATTTCTCAAAACAGACTTTTGTCGTGCGGCCTTTGTCATGTAACCTCGATCCACGTAGTTCCTGAAGGCAACGATGAAAATTACTCTTTACCTGGCTGTTCTTATCGTTAAGGTGATATCTGACACTCCAGTTGCTCTCAATGGCGATGGGTTTGTTTCCTTTGACTTGAAGTCAATACGAAGCAACCGTCGGCAATCGAGTTTACGTTTGAGATTCCGTACCATCCACCCAAATGGTCTTCTCGTCTACAGTAAAGGAACGACGGGTCACTTCTTACGGATGGAGATTGTCCAGGGAAGATTGCAGTAAGTGAAACTTGTGGTCTGATGCTTGCAGTCAAGAACGCCAGTAGTGACTCAATGAAATTCTGGTTCTAGTTGGTAATGTTGAATCGAGTTCGAAAACAGCGTCGCTCTGATTCTGAAACACATTTCATATCCTTTGAAGTTAGACGTATTTAAGAGCCTCTACTTCGTATCCGATCATTCCCATAAACTACTGCATGCTAACTTGCCGGTGACTTACCATACACGCGTGTAGAGCACCTTTAGTGAACACGAAGAGTAAATTGCAGTAGTGCATTAGTGACTTGAGAAGAATCTAATATGTGCAGTCTTTATTTTCTTTTTAAGTCAGAAGAACGTATTTAGCTCATCAGTTCCATTGGTCAGGTCTGGGGTTTCTTTGATTAGAGATGTTGTGTCTGTTTGAAATAGGAACAAGAGATGACACAGTGATCGAAATCAAGATGAAGACCTCTGTTTTTCATTCAATATTTTCCTCGAAACCAAAAACACCTGATCGACAGAGTTATTACTTCTTTTTGCCCTCACGTCAGATGGTTAGGTCTGTGCATATTCAAAGGTCGGTGTCGTATTATAGCGGATCTTAGCTGACCAATATTCATATTTGCTTGCTCCCGGGAGACATTTCTAAATATTACAATTACTAATTGTGGAATTTTTTTTCGGAACCACCAACCGCAAAAATATCCTCGACAACTGAAACGCGAATAAATTTAATAAAAATCGCACCCAAGTGGCTTTCTAAAGAAAAATCGATTTGAAAAGGTTTCCTCAGACTTGAATAGGTAAACCTTTCTTTTTTATCCGTATGTTTTACAACCATAGGTCGATAAATGAATAAATAGAGATGAAAGAAGGAACTAAATTATTGTCTGAGATATCATCGAATGCTATAGGCTGATAAACTGATTCTCAGAACGATTGTTTTTAAAAGTTCTCTTTTACAGTAGACACTCAAACCAGGAACTCTTGGCATTTTATTGTAAATTCTTCTTTGGGTGACTGCAGAAAGAAGGCTCTTCATATAATGTATCAGTGTTTTTATGGCGTAAAAACGCTGAATACTCTTGTGAGTATGGAGAATGTTAAAACTGAAGCCGTTCTGAAGACAATCTGCATTATCTCAGAATCAGGTCAACAATGGAACACTGACACACTGACGCGACGCATGGCAGTAAGTTGCATAAATGGTGGCTTGCTCCAACTTTAGGAAACAGAGGATCCAGTTTCTGTGAATGTCGACTTTGAACCAGTCCAGTTTCCGCAACAGGAAACCACTAGGAGTATTTCTATTCTTTTTAGACTCGATGCTAGTCTTTCGCAGGTCAATACATCGTTGTTGCTACCCGATTCAGGTCATAAAACGATTCATTTGGGAGGTTACAACTGTTCTGTTTGTACACACCCCCTTGCTATCAGTTGCGTGTGGCAAATTGCGCAAATGTAACCTCCCAAATGAATCATCACGTGGTCTGAATTGGGTGGCAACATGTAAACACGTCAGCCGAATCCATCTATTCAATACAACTTTTAGGAATCGCTTTCGCATACCATCCGATCGATATTCATATTTTGAATGCAGTTAAATTGAAAATTATTCCTTTTCTTTCCTTCTCAGTTACGAGTCGTATCTTGGTGCTAGTCAAAAAGGCGGTGACATTTCCACCATCACTTCCTCAAGTAAAGACCTGAACGATGACAGATGGCATAATGTCACGCTCACTAGAGACGGACGAAAGTCTGTTCTGTGCGTTGACCAGATCACTACTTCCGACATATTTCAAGGTGACAACGAAGATCTCAACTTAGACGATATTCTTTACGTTGGTGGAATGAAAGTTGAACGTCACCGACGCTTTCACATGACGGCAGCGCGAAATTTTCGTGGATGCCTTCAGGATATAAAATATGGCAGTACCAACGTCCTAGTTGGTGCAGGGACTGGAATCATTGGGTTTGCAATTCATGGAAAAGTTTCATTTAAGTGTAGATCTAGGCCGAATCGCATTATTTCTTGCACAAATCCAAATTTAAGCGCGAGGATTCCTTGTCGAGGATTGAGCCCTGCCAACTATTTCTTCACTGCAAGTTTTCAATTCCGTACCTATATCAAAGAAGGTCTCCTCGTTTCATTCATCGCCCCTCAAGCAAAGTTTTATATCTTCCTCTCGAAAAGTGCACTCGTCTTTGAAGTTACCTCCATGAATGGCTCGAAAACAGAGCTAAGACTGGGTTCTAACCTTGATGACGGCGAATGGCATCCACTGACATTACATTTCGCGGGCTCGTTAGTTCGCTTAGGTCTCGATGGACAAGAGAAAACTGAGCACGTAACTTATTCCTGGTTGATTACGGATTCCACGAACAAGCTTCGACCAAAGATTTTTCTTGGACAAGAAAGAAGACGAGATGGGATAGAATCGAGTTTTGTTGGGTGCATCTTAGATTTAAAAATCCAAAACCGGGAAATAACTTTTAAAGATTTAAAAAGTAGAGATACCCAGAATGCGATCTCGAAATCTTGTCATTTGCGGAATCGATGCGAGCCGAATCCTTGCAAGAACGGAGGAAAATGTTCGCAAGACGGAAAGCAATATTATTGTAATTGTGATTACACAAACTTTGAAGGAGAAATCTGTGAAATTTCTTTTTACAAACCAACTTGTGAACACTACAAATCTATGGGATTGCAGGGCAGCACTTTTTGCCTGTTGGATTCTCAGGGAGTAGGAAACCCTTACACTGCGCTTTGTAACGCAACAAACTCGTCACGAACGTACACAATGATAACGCACAATAAAATGACAGAAACTCTGGTGGGAAACGCGAAACTTGATTTTTCGGGCTCCTTCTACAAACATGACGTAACCTATACTGGCTCCTCTGGAATGAATCAGATCAAAGCACTAATTCAGAGGAGCAAACATTGCCGACAGTACATAAGATTCCATTGCTTTGGATCAAAACTACTTAACACGCCTCGCGGACCCTCACACGCGTACTGGTTATCACGCGATGGGAGCAGGCAGGAATATTGGGGCGGAGCTGAGCCCGGCAGTAAAAAGTGTGCTTGTGGAATGACGGATCCTCCCTCCTGTGCAGTAAAAACGAAGTTCTGCAACTGTGATGTCCGTGGTGAAACTTGGCGAGTAGATGCCGGGTACTTGAGCGACAAAAGTACTCTACCTGTCATGGGACTCCTTTTCGCCAAGAAAAGCAAGAGATCTGAATTTGCACTGGGTCCCTTGGAATGCTGGGGATATGTAGACGAACACTTCGAAGAAACAACGAACCAGAAACGGAAAGACAACCAAATCGATTATCGATTAAAAAGGGCTTGCCCTACAGCACGAAATATGAAGAAGCAATTGACGGAATCAACTCTTGTCACTGAAACCCCAGAAATGACTCCAATGTCATCAGAAAATACATCCTGTAAAGCGGGAAACGGGACTCATCAGCAATGCCCAAACTTCATCTCCAACCCTGCAGAAAAGAACTCGAACAGCACTGGCGCTGGGCCAGTTGGAGATCAAAAAGCTTTAAGCCGAAACAGTTCCCTCCAATCAAATGAAACCGCAACCGCCGCAAGAATGGACGACAACGTAAAAGGAGATGGGCTGTCAGTAGTGGCAGTCATCATGATATCTAGTGCACTCGTAATGTTTATTGCTCTGTTTATTGTACTTGACAGAATCAATCGTAAATACAAATCTCCTTTCCCTTGTAAATATATTGGAGCGCCGAAGATCCATGTTGGCGATTGACAGAGAAACTCGAGCCATCGTTGGGAGTCTCAAAAATGTATGTTAGCTCACGGTGACCTCAGAGGAAGGCAGGATATCCAATCCTTATATATGGTTACGAGAGAGGATGAAGGGAAAAGAATTTATCCCCGGTGTAGACCTTATTCCCAAGGTAATCTATTTTTAGACATGGTTCCCAGTTCTTCCGCAGATAATGTTTCCACAAGCATTAGGTGGATGTTTTCGTGGAAGATGAAAGTGAGTGTAAGGATGCTTGAGCTGTTCATATGAACAGAATCTGCTTCACAGGATTGGCTATTTCTAAAACCTTTTGAGATTTTCAAAACCGGGAAAAATCCAAACATAATTTAAGAAGGATTACCTTGTTAATTTGGCTTATGTGGGGGGTTAAATAAACATGATGAGGACGATAACACTATCGGTTAGTCTTAAAGCTTGAAATCTTTTTCCCATTCCCGTAGTTGTTTGGATGTTTATTTTTTTATTTCTTTTGTTATGTATTTGTTTTTGTCCTGCATGGGTTTGCAGTCATCTCCCAAATCCGTAGAAAAAACAAACTTTTGTGATTATAATTCAGAAATGTACAGGAAATAAAAAATATACATTTTGGTGTACTCAAGACACCGTTGTTAAGGAAACGTATGTAAATATTCTGCGACTGAAAGAAGTCCGCTAAGTATAATAAGTATGATAAGAATGAGAAAAATAAATTACAGTGCTGATGAGTCTGAGTCTGATTACACGTTTAGACTAAAGTTTTATTTGCTCTATATAATAATAATAATAATATTTAATATTTCTAAGGCGCAAATTAACATGTGAATATGATCAAATGCGCCTAACAAACCATATGAGTAATATAAATTAAAC